TTTTCCAGTTCCCCCCTTTCAAAATACCGAGTTTTATGTTTGTTTTACGTGTTATTACGGCTAAATGCTGTTCAGAATTGTCGATTTGTTCACCACGCCAAATTTCATTGCATTGTGACAACGTTAAATAGACTTTTCAAAATTGAATTTGAAAGGGGGGGGGGGGGGGGGGAGGGACTGGAAAAGAGCCCGTATTTGTTCTAGATCAACCATGGGGGCATGTCTTTTCTACTCTTCTTACCTTTAAAAGCCAACTCCAACTTTCTTTAAGAAAAGCTTCCAGGACTGACGAGATACATTGACTTTTATTTGATTGCCTATTAGATTTTTATGACGTCATATTAATGAGAACTAATGCAGAACTAATTGCTCTTCTGTTCTGTTAGCTGTTTAGAGCCTGAAAATTTCTACCCCTTTTAATGGCCACTGCAATTCCATTGAAATGTCATTTTGTTTTCATTAAGTACAAATATAATCAAAAACCGAAGTAGATTCGCTTTTGCGTCATTTTCCTTAACTAAATAATAATCGTAGCTGACATTGACGGTATCAAAATGAATATTCAGTTGCTTATTCGAATTAATAAGCGTGTCGTCACCATTACAAAAAAAATAAAATTACCATTATTTTTGAGAGCTATTTTTCATACCGGGGCAATATTTGATACATTGCTTACCTGTTACATGAATATAAATACTTGAAGCAAAACTCAAACAAAATACAAATGAAAACAAGCCAATAATGTTAATTTTTGCCTTAATTTGATCAGAAAAAAATGAGCAGAAGGAAAGTCAATCGATTCGGTCAATGAGATAAGTCTGATTGACGGGTGCTTAGTTGATCAGATAAAAGTCTAAACTCCTTCCCCTTGTTTGCCAATCCAATTCTACACTTGATTTCATATTTGCTCTAATTCGACCATTGGGACATGTCTTAACAAAGGTGACATTAACCACTACTGACTATGAAACTGACTCTGCTGCAATCAATAACACTATTTCGATAACCGGTTCCTTAATAAACAGTGCATAAATGAACTGAAAATGACCCAAATCAATCAAAGCCGACCTGGGAGTTGCCCAGTAAGTTGACAGCGGTCAAAAAAGGTCAAACTTTTTAGATGATACACAAATCGGCAACCGTAGGGTGCCGAGTATTTAGAAACCTTTAGAAAAAAGATCTCATGAAAATATCAGAGTGTTTCAGCAATTAAAATCCCTGCCAGTAGTGAATGGGGTTCCAAATTATTGTTTCAGTGTCGGTCTGCTTATTTTTTGATAACCAGATACTAATTTTGCTTTATGATGCGTCTCAAAAAACTATTTATTGACTTTTTTGCTCCAAATTTAGTTTTTTTTTTCAAGTTGAATGTCATTTTTCCCACGCATCAAGAAAACGCCAAACATTTACAACAAAAAACAAAACTGCTTGTATCAGGGCAAAGCCCTGAATGTTCTGACTGCCTTTTAAGGTCTATGGAGCAGTAATAACATCAAAAAATAAAAGTAATAAAAAAATAGATTTTTTCTTTTAAGTTTGAGATTTTTTGTGAAAATCATTATGGAAAAATTTGAAGAAGATAAAATTCCAAGTGATAAATTTCGCTCCTAGTAACAAATCATTTATCGCAAATAAGCTTCGTTCAACCAATTTGGAACGATTTCTCAGACGGATTAAATCTCCGCTTACGCGTTAATAGCGCGAAATATATCGCACGTGAATTGTCCCTATTTGGCCAAAATGGCAATCTGTAAATCTGCAAAACTTTACGGAAAATGATCACAGGTAATATATCTATTCAATTTTAAGCTCAGAACAACATACCTTTGAAAAGATTAAAAAAAAATTTCTTCAAAAAATAGCTAGTTAAAAAGTCGAATTTTGTTTGAAGAAAAAAAAACCCACCCCGAGCACAAATATTCCGTTAATTTCGTTACGAAACGAAAACAAAAATTCGAAAAAGCAAATTCGGAACGTTTTAAAAAAATTTGGAGCTCGATCATTATCAAAAGATACGTAGCAATAATTTAGGATTATGTAACCTTGGCCGTATTATCAATTGGTCCAAAATACTTAGTGTTTTCGAAAAATTAAAAAAAATTTGGCGAAAATAGTTAACGCAAACATAACATAGAGCGAAATTGATGATTGAATATCAAAAAGTGTCCAGACTAGTTTTCTTTGCGACTGGAAGGGCTTCTAAACGATGGAAAAATTGGCTTACTTCATTATGAGGCCAAACTGTGCACTGGATAGGCGCACAATTTTGTGTCTGTATGTTCCTGGATTCCAGAGACAAGTCTTTAAACATGTTAAAATTTTTGGAACGATCAAAGGAAATCCAAGAACAAAAGAAGAACAAGGGGAGCGTCGTTGTTGCGGAGTCCGCTTACATTTCCCAAAATGCACAGTGTGGTCTCGTAATGTTGTATTTTTTTAACATATCAAACTTCTAATACGGTGGTTTTTCGATTCTGTACGTAGTCGGCGCAGTTGAGGGCAAAGCTCAAATTTTTTTTATGCCGACCACTTCAGAAACCTAGAAATACTTATGGCTTCTTGTGATTTATTTTCTGACCAGCTATAGGCATATCAAGAAAACCCGTAAGGGTCATTTATGTGTTACAAGCTATTGGTAGGATACGGATTCACAAATTTGAATCTTTATCTCGGTGTCGTGATAAACGAGTCGGATTTTTCTGTTTAACATTATATTTTTCAGACTGACTAGTCTCATTATTCAGTCTAATTTTTCCTTAATTTTTGATTTTTTTTGACAATTGTAAAATTGTTTTCACGCCAATTCTATCGGCTTTAAAATTATATATTTTTTTATAAATTTAAAATTTTTCATATATCAGCTTAGTCAGACAATTCTAAGCTATTTACACACAGTAGACTGTCTTTTATACAAATCCTAACTGTAACTAAACTTTGAAATTTACATTGAAATGATTTCAAAAAAGGTAGAACTTTCAACTAAATTGTTTTTTTTTCAAATAAAGGTAATTTTGCGTTATCTTAAAACTAATGACTAAATGCTTGCAATTAGCTTATAACTTTTCGAGAAAACTAGTGAAAACTTATGACTAGGTAAAAACTACATCGAAAAGATAAACAATCAGTTGTTTTTGAAACAATATTTTTTAAATTGTGAGACTAATTGAACTTTTCGTAGATTAGTCACTGGATGTGCTATTTTTATGTTCAACAGGGATAGATGTTTGCGCAGTTTAACTAATGATTCAAAGTTATTTTCATAGGTTTATGCCAGTTAAGGACAAGCAAAGATAACCAAATACGTGAAAAATTGAAACTAAGTTTTTAAATGTAAAATTTTAGCATAATTTTACATTGAGAGTCTAAAAACTTGCTGAAACCTTGCTCATAGAATATAACTGTTGCAAACTGTTTGGCAACAAAATCATAGATGAATGTTACCAGGTACGACTTTTTTGTTGATTGGTTTGGGTAACGAAAACTATGAGGCAATTTTCCATTTTACAGCAGCGATACCCACACGCTCATAATTTAAAATCGTCTGAGCTTTTGGGCAGTTGGGCTGGTGTTTATACTTCCTATTACCAGTGCGATGTATTGGATCACATGTTTTCAATATAACAACGGCAGCTCAACAAACTTGGCCTTCCGGGAAAAAAACCTCGGAACTTTTGTAAAGAAGAGTTCTTCGTCTTGAAGAAAAGAATCAAAGTCTTACAAAGTTTTTATATGGTAGCATAAATTTAAATACTCATCAGAAACTTCTGTTTGCTTAAATTGTTTTCACGGTTTTTAGCTCTGCTCTCGCCGGCTCACCAGTAGCTAGCGTGCAAAGTGGGATAATCAATCTGACATTTTCTCAAGAACAAACAACCTCGAGCTGTCGTCTAGCTACCATCTTCCTCTTCTGAGCAGCGAAAGAGAATTTTGTAAAACTACGTCATCCAGCTTTGTAAATTAGCCTATTGTGAGCCTCAGTTAGTGTTTATCAAATCCGAGTTATTTTTCCTAGCATGTTTTTATATTATAATTAGTTTCTTGCATGATTTTACTTCTTATTTCTTTTTTATCAAAATATTTCATCTTATTTCATTTTCTTATAAGAACCTTAGATCTAAATTTAGTTTTCTTACAATTTTTTTTTTTGATCTCTGAAAGACAAATGTAATGGCCTACAAGATCTTCCAAAAAATTGTAATAATATTTTGAGTTTGAGTATGACCCGGGATTTTGGATTACAGAGGTCTGAAAACACAGCGAATAAAAAAAACTAGCCCAGGCCAAGGGCTAGTTTTTTTTTGCTAGCCCAGGCCAAGTTTTTTGACAAATTCGACGACTGAAATTACAAATATTTTGACCTGTTGGGTCAAAGAAAAAGTTTGGTTGGCAGTGTTGTTGTGTTTCATAATCGACCAAACTTTACGACTCAGAAAAACGATGCGTGGACAACGATGCATCATTATTTATCAAAGAAATTTTGTTTCTTGAACTTTGTATCAGATCCTTTTTCTGTGTTTGATCCTTTATTCAGCAATATTTCGGCTTCGCATTCTTTTGGTTTGGAATTTTCTTGCAAGAAATGATTGACTTTGCGTTCATTTGCGTGTTGTTTTTGTTCTGGAGTTTTCTTCCAAGAAGTTTTCGTCTTTGTGCTCGACTGTGTTTAGTCTTTGGGTTCGACTTTGTGTTAGACTTTCGGGGTTGTGCTTTTGTTTGAACTTTGAGTTCGAAATTTTAAATTAACTTTTTGGGTCAGGTTCTTTCTAGGCCATGTTCAATCGATTCGGTTAACACTTAACTTGACCCTGGAACTTAGCGAAAAAAGTATGCTCTAAAACGTGAAAGGGTAGCTTACCTCTGATTTGGAATAAATTCGGTTGTCCCTGAGTCTAACTTTTGTAACTTCTCTGTATTTAAATGACAAAAACTTAGGCAACTTTGTGCTAAGCTGACAAATAAGCATAACACACAAAAGTGTAGTATTACAAAGTGGCTCTTACCTTGGGGCCGGAAGTTGCTTAACCAGAAAATAATATACTAACAATTTAACTATTTACTACCTTTCCTGCGTCTATACCATGCGGGCGAATTTATCACTCAGAGGATATTGGCGGAATGAGAAACCTCTTTTATACACTTTATATTACAATAAACGCTTAGCCTTTTACACGCATGACTATGGTATATATTAGCCTCGAAATGTGGTAAAAAGCAAAGTGGAAATTGGAGAGTGAAATTATGTTGAAGAACGCTATCTCCAATTCCTGGTCAAGACAAGCCCAAAACTCTACCGGCCCAGATTTGAGTTTACCAACCAATTTTGACAGCTGAAGTTGTACGCGTGAAGTGTGGTGTAGCGCTTTGTTGTGTTCGAATTCCGAAGGAAAACTGCCAAGTTATCTACTATTAAAATCGCGGGAGGAAGGTAAACTGCTCTCACGGGAAATCTGTAATGACGTAAAAGGAATTTTAATCACACTCGGAAATTCATGTTTCGACTTGCTAAAATGATTTATGCGGCGAATATAAATATTAAAAAAAAACAATATGCGTGTTTGTTTGCAGAATAACCGTTTTTTGGATTCAACTACAGAGCATTCTTTTCACTAAATAATTCAGTTTAATATTAAACAATAAAAAGCAAAAAAAATGATGAATAAAAACAAAAACAGCAAATACCTTTCTTTAGATTTTATTTTATTTTGTTTTTAAATTTGGTCCGAGCTCAATGAAAAATTTAAAATGAAATGACAATCCTTGTAGCAATATATTTGCAAGTTTCTGAGCCAGCGCTAAAATTGAACAAGCAATGAAAGTAGACCATTGCCCATTTTATGACCAGAGGGTTGGCTTAGAAGCAAGAATGGGGACTAAAGTCAGAAGAAAAAGAACAGTTCCAAAAATTACCGAGTATCTGTAAACTCTAATCATTCAGCCAGAAAAGCACAAGACGATAAGAAAAACTGGTCTGAATACCTGCAGTAAAACTTTTTCAATTTTCGATCTATGAATTTTGAACTTCAGAAGGTTTTGATGTAAAAGATGAAAAAATGGCTGGCCAATGTATCGCATGTTCGAGACAATTTTTTGATTTCGGTTATTTGGACTAATGGCTGTTTGATCATTGGTTGGATTATAGTGCACTCCCTCCCAGCTATATTGGTACTTTCCCCAGATTATCTCAAATAAATCTCAGAACACATCCCACGCACGAGGAAGTAGATGTCATTGATACAGACCCCGTGCAAACTTTAGATGGCACAAACATCCTAAAACTCGAAAAAAATTTCAAAAAAAAAACAAAAAGCTCGGCATGAAGATAAAACTTAAAACGAATTATTACCTTTTGCAAGGATCTGGTGACTTTGAATTTTAATGTTGGACTTCACATCACACAGGGATTCAAATACTGTCTGAGATAACCTTAAGAATAGTTTCCAACTTGTTCTCTTAAGACATCCACATGTTTGCAGTATTTTTGCATAACTTTGAGTGTTTCGTTGACAAGTGAAAACCGTCGGATGTTAAATCTATCGGTTGAATGCACCTGGTACCATTGAAGAGGAATCCGTTCAAACGCGA